TTTAGGACTGCAGGCCCTTTCCTTTTAAGGATGACCGTGCTCTTGGACATGGTTTTGTCTACTTCGACAAACTATTTGGGGGAAACTAAGGTTAGGTTAATTCGACTCCAGGATGTCTTAATAACAAAAATTTGACCCTGTTACACGCAGTTTGAGGTTGGGTCCCTGACGCCAAGTCCCATCTTAATAGAAGACGCTGCTTGAGCACATTGAATGAGACATCATGGGATGTAAGAGGGTTTAGTTTATTGATATTTATATTAAAATGTAGGGGGTAACGGAACATTCTGGTTGTAGATGATGTAGAGATAGAATAAATGACATTTTCTGTGACTTTTACTTGTTTTTCCTTTATTGATATGATATTACCATATATATTAATTACCGTATTATTGATGCGATATTACCGTATTATTGGTGCAATATTACCGCATCCATGAACATGCCATTGAGCATTTACACAACCTTGTCCACTGCAAGCTTCATATCGGCAGCCTTATACTATTTTTTCTGCCTTATACAATTTTTTATTTTTTCGTAAAATAACTCCAGGTTTTGATGCATTGTAGTAGAACTCTTCTAGTTACATATGCAAATGACAAATTTTAGGAAAGTGTCATAGTTTGTAAATGGGGGGTGCAGGCCCCCAATGGGGGAACTTTGACCACCTAATGGCAGCTGTGACGGGGTAACATTGACCAGCTTGGAAATTGAGTTAGAATTACCATAGGTACCTATATAACATATTTTATGTTTGATACACCTATTAATGTTTTTTCTTTATGTTTCAGACTCTACAGAGTCTTATATATGGTAATTTTAACTTAATTTCCAAGCTGGTCAATGTTACCCCGTCACGGCTGCCATTAGGTGGTCACATTTTGCCCATTGGGGGGCAGCGCCCCCAATTTGCAAACTATGACACTTCCCACAAGTTTGTCATTTGCATATGTAACTAGAAGAGTTCTACTACAATGCACCAAAACCTGGAGTTATTTGGAGGTATTTTACCAAAAAATAAAATTGATTTTACCACCCGGTCAAAGAAACCCCAAGAGCTGGGGTAAAAAAGACCATCACTTTTTTTGAAATTACATCAAAACTATGAGAGGCAGGAGCCAGCAATTTATGGTGAGTGAAGCTAGAGTATAGACAGAGGGTCTCTTATACACATCTAGATGTGTATAAGAGACAGATTATAACCACTGTGAAATCTAACACTGTCACTAAATCATGCAATAATTTGTTTACATTTGTAAGTGAAAGAAGAACATGTAACTTAAAGATAAAGATTCGAACCATGTTTCTATGGTGCATGCACTTTTGATGTACCTACTCGTCATAAAAACATGCACAGCCGANTTCAATGCTGACAAGTGTAAAGTACTTCACCTCGGCAAGAACAACGAACAGCAAGCTTACAGCATGAGAAGACACCTGTCTCTTATACACATCTAGATGTGTATAAGAGAAATGAGTAAATCCCAATAGCAGAACAATGAATATTTAGAGATTTCCAATAATTTTGGCCATTGTAGCGGCTAATGTAGCGCGCTACATTTTACTGTAGCGGTAGCGGTAGCGCCCGTTACAATCTAGTGGGTGTAGCGGTAGCGGTAGCGCCCGCTACATTTAGAGCATGTAGCGGTAGCGGTAGCGCCGCTACATTTCCAAGTAGCGCTGCCCAGCTCTGAGTATAGACCTGTGTTTTGCAGGTTTCAATTTAAGTTTAACTTATCTAGTCAAAAAATTGCATCATTTTGAAAAAAAATTGGTCAAAGTTACCCCATTTTACGGTATGTAAATTCCGCAAATAAAGTTTTCATGCTGACACTTGTCTGCCACTTTTTTCGAAGCAAAATTTTTTAATACAGCAAATATTTTTTTAATACAGACCTTAGCAGAAGTAACTTTTCAAAATATTGTTTTCATCATTTTTTCAGGAATTTTTCAAAGCAAGTAAATGTAGTATTTTTGAACTTCCTATTTACTACATAGATAGGAAAAATGTTGACGTTTACGCCACTATATTTAGTTTTGCAATATTCCAATTAGTTTTGCTACTAAAACAGTTTTATGCCGTGTCGGAGGACTGTCCCGAGTTACTCCGCCCGTCCCGAGTAGCCCCGGTTGACGGTAATATGTTTTCAGTTTGGTACAATTGTGTCCATCTTACATTCTCTACATTTACAGCTAACATCAAAATAGAAAACAATATAGTTAATAAATACCATACAATGTCTAAATCAAAGTATATTTGAAACTAAATGTTGCACACCTCTAAAGTGCATCAAAATAATTTTTAATTTTAGTGATGTATTTAAATGTTCTATACTTTTGCTGACACAATTAGTAAAATATTGAGCATTGCATCAAACCAATAAAGATGTTGTAGAGTTTTGAGTAAAAAAATCTCCTTGGCACCCTCAAAATGTTTGCCTGCAATGCTACTGCTTATCCTTTATGTCCAACCTAACATTTGTGCTTCAAATTCTTACTTGGCACCTGTAATGAATAACTAAGCACCCAATAGATGCAGGTGCACAATTATTGTGGTCTTTTTAAATTCTAATTTTTTGGACTTTTTCACAGGCTTCAATTTTCCACAGGCAAATTCATGCCTTGAAAATTTGTTCTAACACTGGCCATAAGTTTTTTTGCTAAAAGATTTTGGTCATAGGTTTTTTGCTACCTATCACATTGAAGTAATTGGTTTTTTGAAACCACTTTCTGATGTAGATTTTTCTACCACATTTTGGTGGTAGATTTTTTTGCTCCCACATTTTGGTGGCAGATTTTTTGCTCCCATATTTTGGCTGTAGGTTTTTTGCTACTACATTTTATCATGGCTTACAATGTTAAACTCCTCCAGTTCTCTGATGCTGCCACCGTAAGAGGCCGGGGAGCTGAGCTGAGCCATCTTCAGGAGTCTGCTGGATCCCATGGAGTCAAGCAAGAAGGTGAGTGTATGATATATATCAATATTGCACACCTGCCATTACTTACCTACATGTTACTTCACAAATACTGTTATAATGTGTACTACAGCATTGCTTTGAGATTTTTTCTGCAAAACTTTGCTGTCAGTGTTGCTAAAATGTTGTTCATATCCATTCACAGAGGCTGCTGATCCAACTCCGGCTCTCGAAGCCATCAGCATCAAGAAGGAGGCTGAGTTTGCTATGGAAGCACTTGAAGCCATCGGCATCAAGAAGGAGGACGAGTTTGATATGGAAGCCCTTGAAGTCATCAGCATAAAAAAGGAGGCCGAGATCAATACGGAAGCCCTTGAAGTCATCAGCATCGAGAAGGAGGCCGAGATCAATATGGAAGCCCTTGAAGTCATCAGCATCGAGAAGGAGGCCGAGATCAATATGGAAGCCCTTGAAGTCATCAGCATCAAGAAGGAAGCCGAGGTTAATATGGAAGCCCTTGAAGCCATCGGCATCGAGAAGGAGGCCGAGATCAATATGGAAGCCCTTGAAGCCATCGGCATCGAGAAGGAGGCCGAGATCAATGTGGAAGCCCTTGAAGCCATCGGCATCGAGAATGAGGCCGAGATCAATATGGAAGCCCTTGAAGTCATCAGCATCAAGAAGGAAGCTGAGTTTGCTATGGAAGCCCTTGAAGCCATCAGCATCAAGAAGGAGGTTGAGTTTTATATGGATGGAGTATCTGTGAAGGAAGAACTATCCATAAATGAGGATGATAAGGTAGGTAAACAAGAGTTAGAATTACAAGTGTTAATTAGTTTTCTTATAATTGAATTTGTACCTGTGCTGCAAAAATTTCTTTATTATCCTTTAATATTATTGGATATAATTTCTCACAATTTATTATTTGCATGAAGGGACCACCAGACAATTTACCGTCTCTAAAGAAATTGTGATAGTGAACACGAAGCATCCCTTTTTCTTTTTCAAATCTTTCACTACAAAGTTACAGAAAATGTTATCATGTATACAACCTATTATCACAGGAATATAATATTTTAATATTTTACTGATGCTCACAAATTTTGTAGCAGGTTTCTCCAAGCGAGCCTCACAGTCCTGGTTGTGGTGACCAGCAAGCTCAGCCATTGTTTGTGCCGTGCAAGATGGAGCTTCAAACCGAGGAGGATGTAGATTCTTGTGCATCACAAGACGTCATCTCGTTCGTCTTTACTATGCCTGGAATATTGGTGTGTACTGAAGGGTTTGTCTTGTCAATATGCCTGGAATATTGGTGTGTACTGAAGGGTTTGTCTTGTCAATATGCCTGGAATATTGGTGTGTACTGAAGGGTTTATCTTGTCAATACGCAGTGTAAGTTGAAAATTTATACTTATCCGATTAATAAGAGGAATGAGTGAGATAATGTCCAAATAGCGATGTACTTGTTGCCTTTTTTCTTGTTAGACATTCTTATTCCTTTTGCCCTGACAAAAGTAAGTAGAAGTGCAACGTGCAGGAAGTACCATCATTTGGACAACTTGACCCATTCATTTTTCACAGGGCATAGCCATGAATCTACTAAAACTAACGTGTTTCAAGTTGAAAACCAGTGCATCCTAATGGCCAAATACTTCCTTAAGTTCTTCATAAAGTTCTGTCAAACAAGTTGAAATCAGTAAATTAGTTTTTTTTTTTTGTAATCACTGGTATGAATGGTTAGATTAAAACAAGCACTCCTCAAAACTCCCTGAACAACTGATGATTGAATCCTGAAGTTGAATTATCTGATCTGCTGTACTGTTTTAGTCAACGGTATACAGGGGTTGACCAAAAAAAGGAAACATCATATAAATAAATAAAATACATTTTAGATGATCTGTAGCTACACAAAATATATTTTATTATATTTTGTATATAGGTCCACCTTTTGCAGCAATAAAAGAATCAATTCTCCAAAGTATGTACTCGAACAAATTGCAAATTATTAGTGTGCAGCTAGCACCTGACATATGAGCACAAAAAATTAGGCCCCTCTAATGTCAGAGAGGTACCTATGCCATTTTAGTAAGGATGTAGCCACAAAAATTTGATAAAAATATCTGAAGCAGCATGAAATATCAATTAGCAGTAAAGATATACTATAAATCAATAAAATCTCAAGTCATGTTCAAAAAATATAATTTCAAAATGTTGAGCGTTTCTCTTATTTTGACCAAGCCCCCTGTACACGCAAGTAATTTTGTCTCCCCAGTTTATTGTTGACTCAAAATGCATTTTCAACTAGTTAATTCTAAAGAATATTCAATTGCATAGAGAAACTGTTACATATGTCTGGTTCAACTGCAGTCTTAATTGTAAACAATCTCTTGTATATATTGTAATGCAATTTTTTCCTTTATATATCTCAATAATTGTGTTATCATTTCTGTTATATTTTTGTATTCATGAAAATTCTAGTTTGGTTCGTCTTGGCAGGACGGCAGCGCGTCGCCCACACCAACGAGCGCCCCACATGCTGCTGTTGATCACGTCTCTGGAGCCTCCAACTCTGAGCAATTTACTCAGAACCTCGCACAGCCCACATGTACATTGGTCAAGACAGAAGTGGTATCCGAACTACCGCAACGTAAATCATCCTTCAAGCCACATTCCTGTCCTCATTGCGAATATTTATGCAGTTCAGAGAATGAACTTCAACTACATGTTTATTCAAAACATTCCAAAGAAAAGCCGTATCGCTGCTCTCTGTGTGAACATTTTTGTAATACGAAAAAGAGACTTGATTACCATATTCTAACCAAGCATTCACCACACAAACTTCTTTACTGTTCGCACTGTAACCATTCTTGCTACCTGAAACAAGACCTTACTAGACATATCCTGTGTATGCATTCATCAGAGAGACCTTTTCAATGCTCAGATTGTGACTTCGCTTGTGTCTCCCAAAGTTCACTGAAACGCCATTTCCTTTCAATCCATGCACCGAAGAAACCTATCCAGTGCTCGGAATGTGAATTTTCTTGTATCTCGAAACATGCACTGAATCGTCATTTCCTCGCTAAGCATTCATCAGAAAAACCCCTACAATGCTTGGAGTGTGGAAATTCCTACGTCACTAAAAGCGATCTCAAGATCCACGTTCTTATGAAACACTCGTCGCATAAATCTCAACACTGTACCCAGTGTGATCGTTCTTACAGCACCAAAGCACAACTGAACCGTCATGTTCTACACATACATTCTGTGAACAAACCCTTCCGCTGTTCGGACTGCGATTATTCGTGCGTCAGGAAAGAGGTGCTAGATCGTCATGTTCTAGCTAGGCATTCACTAACCAAGCCCCTCAACTGTTCAGAGTGTGAATATTCTTGTGTTTCCAAAAGGGAGCTGAATCAACATGTTCTTTATAGGCATTCACTGGAGAAACCGTTTCATTGCTCGCAGTGTGATTATGCTTGCGTCGAGAAAAGATTCCTCACTCGCCATATTATTAATAAGCATCAATCCAAGTAGCGATTGAACTGCACTCTGTGTTAAATTTCACTTGCTCCATACGATGATGTTACGGACTGTGGTTAATTTCAAATTTGAGCATTCAAACTCTTTCTTTTTCTTAATGTACGGTATTTATTTGTTTGCTAAAAAATATAGACCTTTTCGTAATAATAAATTGAGGGAATGATTTCCTTGCATCTGAAATTGTAGAGATACGTGCCTCCATAAGCTCGATCATATAATTCTTCCCTGCGTTAACAGCTCGCCTTTACCTTCTCTTGAGTGCTGGATACACAAGCTATCTTCAGACTCGGGTCTCCTTGGTATCTGATTTCAAACGAATATCTTTGAGTCTCAGTCAGCTCCAACCTATAATGACTGTGAAGGGCGTCAGCTCTAACTTACGATGATCGTAAATAGAGTCAGCTCCAACTTAGAATGATTTCAAATTCTATCCAGTAACACGTCCGCAGTTGGCAGCAGCAAAGTACGCTTACAAAACTTGTGATAATTTTCGCGTAACTGTTCGCCTTTGTTTCAGGTATCCGCACTCGAGGCTTATACATGGAATTTTAGTGATTTAATGGATAATGTATTTTTTTTTGTATTTAATCCTTGGAAAATGGCCGTCGCTTAAAATTCACATTGTAATTCGGACGTTGACGCGTAAGAGGCTCAACTGTAAAGCCATTGTGTGTAAAGTGTAAAACAATTTAGTCAGTGATTTATTTTTGTCAAATAAGTAACTTTTGTAAATACTACTGAGCTGTATCTATAGCTTGAAGAGAAATGAAAATCTATTCCATTTGTATTGACGAATAAAATATTTCGCCCGTCTGGCAGTGATGTGACTTAAAAACTGTGCGTGAAAAATATCGATTGAAGCCTTAATTGTTCCATAACTATTTGGGCGATGATTCATTAACATTGTGAGTTTGGTGAGTAAAACTCCAGAAATATGTACTTCAGATTTAATTTTCTCTTCCAACTATAAATGGAAACTTGTAGAGCTATGGAACATCAACTACTACAAACTATGTAAGTGCCCAGGTATACTGAAAACGCCTCGTATGTTCTTAGACTATATGTCCGCATCTAAGCTATTAAAAACAAATAAATAATTAATCGTACGAGGACACGATGGTTTTTGTTCAACAATTACTTTAACCATAGCAAAAGCTATAATGCAGAAGTGGTTTAATCATTAGGAATTGCAAAGATAGTCAATTTTATGTTTGAAATAAGGATAAAATTACCGTCTGTTATTGGCTGCATCAGACGAACAATTGTAACTAAACTGTCATAGTTGTTGAATAATTAATTTTCTATTCAGAAAATTTATTCCGAATCGTTTGCGTTTTAATTGTTGCAATTTTAGTGAAGTATGCATTTTGATCACGCTGAAAATCTTTATTCAAATAATCATTCCCTATATATGCTTTGTTTCTAAAACTTCGAACTGCCATGTGGCATTTAAGCGGCAATATGAACTGCATCTATTTGAGGCCGCTTCAAAGAAAATTTGCGGCAAAAAATGCGTTAAAGTTTTTAATAAATACCCGTTAAGTGTCTTGCTACCAAACACAAGGTGCCAATAATTCTTAATATAATTGATGCGCTATAATATCGTGTTATACACGAAATTTGCATTATGATTCACTAACTGGAGAACGTGCCACACCGAGGCAAAGCGCGAGTGATAGAAATACATGATGTATGAGAATACAATATACATTATTATTCACTCAACATGCTGAACCATGGATTGCGTTTCTTTCGTGTATGATAGACTGAATAGAAAGCATAAAATTTAGCAGGTTTGATGGTTGCTACATATACGAAACCTGACGCGTTAATCACTTGTGACGTGCAATCGTTACCTAGTTCTACTCCGTTACGTCAATTCATTCAAAATATGGAGATAAATACGGGACATTATTAGCAGTATTGTACCTTGTCTGGTATAAGCGAACAATAACATAATACCTTGTATGTCTTTTTCGCTGAATTACTTACTTCCGAGTTGGGGGCTGAAAAGTTGCTAGGTAAATATCCTGAATTTTGTGGAAGATCCATTCTAGAAAACTAGTATGGTTTTTTATATATATTAAAAAAAAGTATATTCCTTTGGGATCATAACTACTGTCCAAGGACCTCAAAATGCCTCCGTCTTCACCAAACGATGTCAATTGAACCAACCCATCCAATCAATTCAAAGTAAACACGGAATGGGAGAAATTATGCTATGGATATCCCAATAACGCAATCTTTAATTTTAATATCGACTAATAATAGTTACACTGGCAAATTTAATGTAGTTTCCATAGTGTTGGCGGCACAACGGTGTCCGACAACGGCGTTCAAGACACATGAGAAGACACACAAGGAGTTAAGTGAAGGCACTCCATAATAAGGCATTATTAAAGATATGTTCCATTCCACGCTGACGACATCAGCGTATTAATCAGTAGTTCGTCGCGAACTTCCCTTAACACTAATGAATGCATCTTAAAAAGGCACCATGTACACATTGATCATTAGGCACAACTTCTCTATGTACAAAATGATTATGAAATTAACAATTAATCATATTAATTAATCCGTTTCGGCATATACTACGCGTTATTCCGTTTATATACACACGATATGTACAGAAAATTTTGCTATAAACTGAGAAATGCAAGTAAATAAAATTAGATTGACGTGGGAAAAAATCCAGATTAATTTTTGTAAAATAAAAACTTGGGCGCTACAACATAAAGCAATCATTGTCCATGACCACAAAAACGATATAAATAATTTCTGCGTATAAATTATAGGTACTGCTGGACAAGATGGCTCAGCTTGTATGTGAACACGTGGCTGCTGTCTAGTACGTAGTACATATAATTAATTAATGTGCATAAATTAAATTATCTGCTAATCAAGATGTCTGAACTTGTGTGCGGACATCTGGCTGAGACCCAGTACAGAATAGTTGCACTTGAGGCAATGATAGTGCGTTTGTTTTTGGTTGTGGTTGCATCCTTGCACTCCGCAAGGTTGGGACGGTGTGAACTTTTCAAATCCTGCGGCGTTGATGGAATCTCGCTTCTGATGTTGCCGCCGGTGGGCGACCACTTTATTGGTGTCCGTGCATACGAAATCGCACTTCATGCAGTGGAAGTGAGATGCCTTGTTCTGCTGGCGCCCTGTTCATTCAACGAAATTGTCAAGAACTTGTACTAAATTGAATAAACATCATTATTTATGTCTGGACAATCTTATCCGAATGCAAATTTTGCTGCTGGACTAATGCGAGGTCAGCTAAAATTGAACGTTATTAAATCACCTATCTGATTCACATTAGAAGTGTATTAGAACAACATTATGATACAACTATGACTCTTTTTTATAGAAAGATAATGGCGTCAGCAAATCACACCTTAGAAAACAAAGTAGTAATTTAAACTCATTACTTCCCGCCAGTTTATCTACTCACCGACCATGGAGGCATAAATACAGTCAGATCGTCCGCAAGATACATTCGACCTGTACTGCTGAAAGTCGCCCCCCATGAGGGTGTCGAGGCGGTCATGGCGGGCGGTGTGTTGAACGAAGCGAGTTTTATCACAGAAGGAATACCCACAATCTTTACGCATGCAGTGGAAATGAGTCTGGTGTTCCCGGTAGCCGCAGTGTGGGTACTGGCAATCTTCGTTAAACCTGAAGAAGAATATGTCCGCTTAAATTGAATGAAGATTTAATAAAATGATGTCTCGGGGTATGTCCTTATATCTGCAATACGATGTTCTGGGACCAATCAAAAGATGTCAGGTATGAATATTATGCTCTTTTTAAAATGGAAATGGATTGATAATGGCAATCAATTTGGATTATTACAATCGGATTTACATGAATGCTAATTAATTATTCTAAGCACATCTGAGACCGATTTGCACTAGTCTACGTAACTAGTAGATCCGCATATAGCATTCTCGGATTTTTCATAGAAACATGATTACACCGATGGGAGCGGTACTTACCTAAATCTGTAGTAGCCCTCAGGAACTGGTTCATCTTTCATCATGCGCACCGATTGACACGATGGTCGTATTTTCTTAGATTCTTGAGCTGCGAAGTCATCAGTCCCAACTCGCTTGCCCAACAATGCCAAATGAGGCGAGGTACCTAGAGACGGAGGTAGAAGTGTTCCCATATCTCGGGGACTACTTAGCGAGGACGGATGAGCCATTCCAGGAGGACCTAGCCCAGATTGTGCTTCAGAAGTTGGCAGAGGAGGGAGGTGCGCAGGAGGGCGTGGCACACCCATCATTAAAGCGGGGTGTGCCATGGCTGCAAGTGCAGGATGAACTCCAGGCCAAACAGATGGGGGCAGGAGCCGAGGTAGAGAACCAGGAGGGAATAAACCCGCCATTCCCAAAGGATGAGCAAAAGGGGATGGCAGCCCCGGGAAGCCAGCCTGAGTATACATGTGAGCGTTCGGAAATTGAGACGCTTGAGAAGAGCTGATGCCTATGGAAAATGGTGGAGGGTGACAGGTTTGTGAGGAACTTATTTCAGGGCTTTTTGGACTAGGTGGTCTATCACTAATATTATTAGGAGAATGACTAGGTCTATCATCGTCACTTTCCATAGCTTCTTCCTCTTCCTCTTCTTCTTTTCCAACGAATCCAGACCCCGACATGTGTTTCTGGAGATGAGGGCCCAGCTTTTCTTGCTCACTAAATGCCTGGTTACATAATTGACAGTGGTAGTGCTCCCTTTTCTTCAACTTACAGAAGGGACGGCCACATAAAATTTCACCGCTGTATTGAGGATGGTGTTCGGGAAGGAGTTTTTCGGGTGTGATAGTCGTAGGATTGAAAGAATCGCCACCGCATGACTCGTTATTCTGACCACAAGAACTGTCTGCATTCTCTTCACTGTTGTTATGGGACGAACTCTGCGTGAGATGCATAGAGACTTTGACCATGGATGGCGACTCACCGCTGTTATCCGACAACAGAGGTGGCGTCGACGGTGGGACTTGCGATATTCTAGGGGAAGAAGTAATCGTAAAGCTACTGGACACAGGCAGGGTGAAGGACGGTAGAGTGTAAGATCGGGTTGAGGACGGAGGAATGGCCATCACGAGAGCTCCTGGTTCACTTCGAGGAGTAGAGGTCCGGGCCCCTCCTTGCGGTAGGTTGGGGAATGGGGATAGAGGGTAGAAAATCCCCGAAGACTTCACAACTGGAGGAGAGAGATCTGAACGTCAGTGTTGTCTGTCTTCAACGTCACCAACGCATCCATTTATCCTACGATGTGTTCTCGGAGTAGAATTAGATCTGTTTGTTATCGAATAACTAGAAGAAATCAAAGGCAGGACGATTCCGTGAAATTTAGACACATGATTCCGTGGGATTAGGAATTTCAAGGAAGTTAACGTTCGGCTACATACTTACAAAAAAATATAATATTATACATATATAACACACATGATATAACTCGCTAATGTACAGCGTAATATTTGAAATAATCTTTTTTAAGAGTTGGTAATAATCGATTAGCGTCGTATTCGCGACCAAAGCATTCTGATACCTTGGCTTTTGAGTGGACTCTCGGATGCGGAGAGGCTACATGCCGGTGGTGCCTCCATGGGGCTGTGGGAACGAGCTTTGGAGGTGAAGGGCTGCTCCATGGAAGATGAAAGAGCAGAATCCTGGTCTTCCTGCAAGTGCTTGTCGTGGTGAGGCTCTAGGGCTTGGTAGTTCACGAAAGAGTAGCCGCAGCGCGTGCAGTGAAAATGCTTCAGTACTTGATTGCTGTAGGACAGGAACGTATGCAGAGTTGGACTAGAATTACATGGGTTATGGTACCATTACTTCCTCTCTGAATTGGCAGCATGAATATTTCTATCCCCAGTGAAAATTTGAAGCTTGTCTCGGGCAAAAGCCGCCATTATTAGCTCAAGAGCTGATCATAATAATTTTATAGTCATGGACACACTCGCTCAATTTAATAACTTGACAATCCACATCAGTACACAAGGCAATATTATCGAATACAAAAACTATAATAAAAACAAGTTATAATAACTATTCAATCAATTTCTATTACTCTCAACCAAACGCAAAATGAAGAAGCATTCGTATGATCAGTATAATAACCGTAAATTCGTTATACATATTAATTGGCTCACCTTTGGCATGAAGGTAGGCGACAGTCAATTCCCTTGTCGATGGATAGGAAGCCTTCGGGAATGTGGGTCGTTTCGTGGTAATTCCTGGAGAAGAAAATGAATAATGAAAATTTACATTTTGATTGAAATGAGTGAAAGTGCGTGTAAGTGTAGAGAGCCTTGAGTATGACATGGTCCTGAAACAGTGATACATTTATGGATATAGTACAACTCTACTAGATATCTGGTTGAGATGTTACCGGACCACTTCGCGTCAATACAGCATAAATAATTTGAATGCAACACCATACACTCAGTTCATAATCACCAATGCTTTCTAAACGACATTGTGGCTATGGACAACACTAATATCTATAGCCGTATATGATTGTACATATGCACAACACTGATGTCTATAGCCGCATATGATCGTACCTATGGTCTATGGACAACACTGATGTCTATAGCATCGTAGGATCGTCCCTGTGGATCGTGCACACTGATCGTACCTTGTGTGCAGCGGCAGGACTTCGACGCTGCTGGTGACGTACAGACAGCGGGGGTGACTGCAGTGATAGTGTCGCCTTGACAGCAGAGGGCAGAGTTGGTCGGGACACGGACTGCCTTCTTGCCAGAACGTGAACCCGTCTATTTCTTCGCCCTGCAGCAGAAAATGATTTGTTAGGTAATTTCTACCTATTAAATCTGGAATAAATTTTTTTACGCCGTCAGTTTAACACAACGGTTGAGATTGTATAGGCGCAGAAAACTCAGTGGCGTTGTATGAGTGGAGTTAAAAAAATACAACGAAATTCCTTGCATTGAAATCATTTCAAAATATATATTTTTCATCTCTTAGGACATTGGAGAAACTGAAAATTGGCTGCTGCATTCATTTAGTGTGCCTTCACCTGAGGTTGGGGAGGGTTGCACACAATCATGCCGGTGAGGGGTAGCATGTTAAGGCTTGGTCGCGGTGACTGAAGACCTGAGGAATTTCCTGAGCTGCTGGCGGTTACAGCTGTGGGTGTGGGGGGAGACTCAGCCATTTCTCTACCGAGCTGCGCCAGGTGAGCCAACGGAGTGGTAGCTACATTCCCCAAGCTGGTGATCATGGAGTGTGGGGGACCAGACATGGAGGTGGGAAGGTGGGAAGACAGGCAGTGAGGAGGAGGAGAACTCTTTGGTAGTTTGAAGCTGGTGAAGATGGCAGGAGGAGTGTCGTGGTTGCTGGATCCCGGTAACTGAAGAAAAAGCAGGGGACAATATTAACCGTACGAATATATGTTTGATTGAATTAATTGCTATATCAAAATACTTCTACGGTGGAAATAGTTCCGAAAAAGGCATTTATCTTAATATATTTTTAACATTTTATTTTCTTTCATCATGCTTCTTCCTTTTGAATCGGTAAAATGATTAGGCACAAGAGTAGAAGTGTTCTGGCAGTTATACTGTATAAACGTGGCAATTATATAAACTGAAAGGACTGAATACAATATCAGGGGGGTTGTTGGTGGGGAGAGGAAATAAATGCTGTATCACAATGGAATGTTATAATTGCATAATTATTCACTATGCTCCTGAATTACGAATATCCGAGCGATTACAAATATTTGAATAAAGCTATCCATGCGCAGCTGTTATTACAAAAAATTTCGAGTTACGGGTTAAATTACTCATTTATGGATGCATACATTGGGCAATACGTGGGATGTTCGTATCAATTAGTAATATAAGGCATTCACTATCAATTCATTAATCAGTAATTAATTTCATTATTGAAATATTTTTATTCGTAAATGTTAATGACGATGAGACCCCCACTCGTTGTCACCTGAGAGGTTTGCAATTTAAAGCTTTTATTTTTGGATGGCGGTTGAGATCAATGAAACAGAGTGCAACAACATTTGTTATTTATTAATATAACGAAAATTAGATGGATGCATTGGTTCTAGTGTTATTGCACCAGCTATTCGATTGAATAAACTTACATGGTTTGCGACAAGCATAAAAAAGATCATTAGTGGGTTATGAAGCAATTTAGTTTGTTAAGTTCTGCGGTGAATAAACAGCAAAAAGTACACTTACACAATCATTCCAAACCTGTGGGAGAAAATCGAGAGAACATTAATACAAATTTGAGGTACTCATGAGATACATCTAAGCTCTCTTTAATGTTTTTGATCAACCTTTTTTCCGAGAAACTTTTTAAATCAGGATCTAAATTCACCAAGTGCCCATGCATGCGTACAACGCTCGCTCATACCATTCAAGAAGAATTAAGAAATAACTGTATTAAATGGCCGATCAATTCGAAATTCATGATAAATTCTTGCTGATATATTACTTAGATTCAGAAACATTATTTTTTGCAAAAATTCACTCAGTTCTGAGGAAAAAAAAAAATTGAGAACCCGAGATGACATATCATTAGCCAAAAAGCTATCAAATTATTCAAATAAAAGTAAACTTGGCCTCAAATTGTCTTTTTTAGCGTGGGCTGAAAGTCATTACTCTATATTGCCTATGATACTGTAAAACTATCTGCATAAAACTTAACGTTGATATTAAGTTTATCAAAAACAGGAATTAATTATTCTTGTAAGCGTGGAATGAGAGTCACCTCGACAATCCGGTTCTTGGGCGGCCTGCCACGCTTCCTCTTGAACATGGAGTCAATGGAGGTGACGGAGGCGACGCCGCTGTAGACGTGAGTGGAGGGCGAGCTGGCGGGGAGCGCGTGTGTCATCTGACGCGCGTAGTCGTGCATGCGGCTGTGCTCCAGACGGCGGAACGACTTGTCCGATAACGTGAAGAGTTCCGAGCAGCCGTCCTGTGCCGACACATTACGTCGTGTTAAATTATGCTCACGGAGCAATAAAATAGTATAAATATTTCCAATAACGATGTGAATGCAACGAATACATTCATTTCAATGATGTAATACCTGCATCGATGAATGTAATTTGCTTGCCTTTATAGCAGGTATGATAGGACGCAAGGCATTAGAGTAAACACAGAGTAAAATTAATTGAGTTTATAGGACTCGGTCTCTCTGGGAAATACCATGAGACATTATGCAGAAATAAAATAGTGCATAAGCAAAAAAATATTGGAGATCTCATTTGTAATGAAAATGTTCAAAAATTTATTTTCGATTCAAACATCCGCAATTCATAAATATATATAATATGTTTACAAACTTGTGATACAAAAATATAATAAAAACTTTTATCTAAATAATAAAAGCTTCGACTAGTGACGGAAATATCTACTAACCATTTTACAGTGGAAGTGCTCAGATCTGTCCTGTAGTGGGCAGTGGTGTGGGCACGGGCGGGTAAGATCCCCGGGCATGACGCGATGAAACTGTTCTTCAGTGACCAACGCAAGCTGCTCGTGCGCCCTGCCGTGATCTTTGGCGATGTCCAACGAACTGTAGACCAGATCGCAGTCCTCGCAGTGCCAGTGCTCAGTACCCGCCGCCTCGCAGTGGCATGGGTCATCGCGACCTACCAGACACATATACCTCTGCCAGGTCTTGTCATCTGTGACGGTGGTTAGGTCAACGGGGGAGGAAGGGCCCGAAGAGCTGGTGGGAGTGGATGTTGAACTTGCTGCTGATCCCCCCGGGAAGTAAGGGTGGCTGGTCGGGGGAATGACCCCAAGGAACCTAGCCAACGGGTGGTTTGGGTCCATCACAGTTGGTGGAGGAAAGCCACCCATCAGAAACGGGGAAGGCCGTTGCATGGGGTTGGCAGGTGGCACCCCAATAGTTTGGGTAACAGTTGGGGAAGAAGAATCATCCGATCGCAACTCCTGGCCCATGGAGAGCATGGGTGGAGGTAGTCCTGTCATGGGCCGAAGAGCCTCATGCAACAGAGGGTTGAGGGCTGGGTGGGTATCATGTATACCAAGCATGGTCTGCGCTAGACGGTACCTCCGGTAGTTCTGGTCGTGGTCTTGCCGCTCATGTTTCCGCTGCGAGTGAGTTGTACATACGTTAGTTTCAAAATTTATCTATGCAGTATTATTCGCTTGCATTACTAACCTTATTTTATCATTACTTTTGAATCAATGTTTTTATTTTAAGGGTGAATTCTCAGACTTCAATTTAGTTACTTTTCAATTTGATAAAATCCCATTCTAAAAATAAACTCTTGCCAGCATCTATTTCTTTTCAAGTTATTACCGAATTGATGAACGTCTCAAACGCAACATGGTTTCAAAATTAGAAGTTTGATCACATAAAATGCGCGCGACACAAAATTTTAGTGTGGCAGATGATTAAGAAGTTAGGTATAAATTCCTCCAAGTTCTGTACATGTGATTATAGGTCACAGTGTCACTCTCATTGCTCTGATTCGTGGCAGCTCTGATAAAGATAAGTTTTAATATCAGTCTCAGTTCAGGACGATTTTCCCACATTGGTCTGAGCATAAGCTTACTTAACTCTCGGCGAAATTACAAATATTTTTATAATCAATTGACAGATATGAATTCTACTTTCTTTTAAAATTTATTTTTGTCATCGATAATTTTGATCTTATGTTGAAAGCCTCACCTTGTGAGCGAATATTTGGTTAGACGAGTGAAGGACGTAGTTACAGTCTGGCCTGATGCAGTGAATGTGGTTGACAACGCGCGAGAACTTGCAGCCATCGAACGGACAGTCCTCCTGCTTCATGAACTTCTTAAAGCCGTCTTTGGTGAGCTGTTCGTCCTTGACGTGATATGTTTTGTGTTTCTCTGTAACATAATCATTATGATATATAATGAAAAATTATTTAATAATCTAAATCTAGAATACCTAAAAAAAAAGCCGTTGTCATGAATTACACGCAAGATGAAGCAAAGAGTAAGGGAAAGTTGGGTACCAAAATTTTAGCTGAAGGCAATAATGGAAGTTTAGTTGAAGGCAATTATTTTGTATTTAGTTGAAGGCAATTTTTGTTGAAGGCAATATTCTTTGATGTTTCAATATTCCCACGAAAGTTGGGTTGGACACGTAAAATTTTTTTATATTACAAAGACACGACACCTCTCTCTTCTAGGTCAATCAAAGCACTAACTAATGTGCCATTACTACCCTGATTTATTGTTAAAGAAAATCCTTTAATACATAAATAACTTACGGTTCACACCATCCCCCCATGTTCACTGTGCCCCATGCCCCACTTATCTTCGTTAATCAGTAATGAGTAATCGAGAAACGATGACACGATGGTTATTTTGAACATCAGTTCGTACTTGGCCACGTAAACAGGGGAAAATACTGGTAACAACTAGAGACGATAAAAGACGTTACATTGATCGTTTTACCGTCTAATGACACTGAAATCGTAACACATAAAACATCCCAGGAAGGAAAGGCAAAAATGCACCATCCTCAACTCACCCATATCAGCCTTGTTCTTGAATGTAAAGTTACAGTTGTCGCGCATGCAGTGGAAGTGCGTAGTGCGCTGTCCACTGTAAGTACAGTCCACTTGAGCACAATCTTCAGACGCCCTGAAGCGCTGGAAGCCTTCCTGCATGATGGCTGAGTCTTTACGATGGTAGTTGGCGTGCATCTGAACGTCTGATGTGCTGATGTAGACCTTGTCGCATCCCTCCTGAGGTTAAGTTGTAAACGGTCTTAGTAAGAATATGATAGCTTCGAATCTCGATATTGTTCAAGAAGCGGTACGCGAAATTAACAAAAAATATCATCGATAAATATCACAAAATTATCATACAAAATAAACAAAGTAAATATCACATAAAAAAAAACGAATATTAAAATCTGTTACCGATAAAAATCATCATGTGACAAATTCTCGTGAATACTAAGAATATTGCTGAAAAATAAAAACATTTAAAATATTGTTGCACAAAAGTTTAAAAAAAAACGAGAAAGTTACATTAGAGTAAACGTTTCATTCTTTAACGTACTTTAAGGCAGTGATAATGTGTCTGCTTGCGGTTGTGCGAGCAGGCGGCGAACCTGTCGGAGCAATCATCAGTGGGAGAATAACGCATGAAGCCATGCTGCAAGCTCTCGTCTCTCTTCTTGTGCCACTTGAAGTGCCTGATCATTTCCTCCTTCTTGCTGAAGATTTTGTTGGTGCACTCGAGGCAGTGGAAATGCTCCCTGCTTTGGTGAAAAATGACAGGACGTCCGTCAGTCGCAAGGCTTATGACGAATTGTGGCAACGTTCGCTAAAATGCCTACGACGCTTAGAAGCGCCTCTATACCTTCCCTTGGCACCCATTAACGCCCTCGGCTCGTCAATTATACTCAAGTAGCCGTCATTCATGTTAGGAGGCGACGACAGGCCCATTATTAAGGCACTCATGTACACCAAAACCCAGCCACATGATATATTAAACGTCTTACATTATGGCGCTTGACAAAAAAGGTTTCATGTGATTTGACATTATTTTAAAATGTTCATTTTGATTTCAATTTACAAGCGAAGATTTAGATAGTGATATTGCCTAAGGAAAATGCACCGTAGGTAAATTCATTTTTGGTAAATGCCAGAAATGCGATTCTGGAAGTGAAATTCAAGTTTTTAAGTGTGTGGCTCGTTATAACTATTTAATCTACGTAACTACTTTAGAATATTCTGCGATGAACTCACACACATTTGAATTGCCTCTTTAATTTTGGAAATTATAACGTTATTCGTTTGCAAGGTTTTAGCACTGTTACACTAAGTAATACTCTAAGGTGAGAACCACGAGTAAAGTTAGTCCCTTCTAGCGAGTAGATGAGCTATCAAATCTATCTATCTATGAGACCTAGTAAGTGAAGAAATGTCCTACGTTATTTTATATAGACATATTAAAGCATTAATTGAAACAAAAAATAAAGAGTTTAACGTAAAAACGAAATTTTCGAACAATGAACACTGAATTTTGCATAATAAACTATGTATGCTTAATACTTCAAAAAGCCGGTTTGCGCTCACTTGAAAATTAGGCTTTTTAATGATCTAGTGCAAACAGGAAGATTAATAATTTTAATTGCCATTAAGATCGCTCGATGCAACCGACTATAAAGAGCGTCACCAACTCCAAAGCAAATGAACGTCATTTTGCGAGACGAGAGGAGGCGCCCTTACCTTTGGTTGAGCTCCCGACAGGCGGGGGCGCCGCACTCGAGCGCCGACGAGAAGCGCTTCACGTAGCGCGTGTAGTCGACGCTGGTCTTGGCGAGCGGGTCTCTGGGCAGCGACATGCCTGCCGCCGAGCCCTGGCCCGTGAGCGACAGCCCAGCTAGGCCCGGCGTCACAGCTGTAAAGAGAATAAATGTCAAGCGTTTCTTTGGGTGAGTGGGCCCATGGGCAGCGACCTGCCTAGCTAGGCCCGGGGTAACAGCTGTAAAGAGTATGAATGTTAAGCGCTAATTTTGACGGGCGAACAGGCGGACCAGCTAGGCCCGGCGACGTGCCCAGCTATAGGCCCGGCGTCACAGCTGTAAAGAGAATGAATAGTAAGCGCTCGTTTTAGCGGGCGGGCCCATGGGCAGCGACCTGCCTAGCTGGGCCCGGCATCGCCTAAGTGAAGGAAACAAATGTGAGGCGCGGACTGACAATCAACAAAATTTGAACTGAAGGTCTCGCTAACAAATGATAAAAATGGGGCACATGGAATGTTGAATCAATTATGCAGAAGAAACAAAAATAGAAGAGAGAAATGGAGTTACAGTGGCATCAAATGAAACAAAGTATTGGAATCTATTAAAACACGGAGCACAACGAAGCATCGGGAACAGATGAAGCAGTGAAACAAATTAAGCACCGAAAATAACAAAGCGTTGGGCACAGATGAAGATGGGAATAAATGAAGCACCGAACGCAACGAAGCGTTGGGCACATATGAAGATGGGAACAAATGAAGCCCCGAAAACAATAAAGCGTTGGGCACCGATGAAGCAGTGGAACAAATGAAGCACCGAGCACCACGAAGCACCATACACACATGATGGTGACAACAAATGAAGCAACGACTACAATATGAAGCGGCTCAGCCGAGCAGGCGTTGCACGCGCGGTGGTCCCATATGTCTCAGTGGCGGGAGAATTGCGTGTTTTTCTTGTGCCCACACAAGCGATGCCACACATGCCCCATTGGGCATGAGGGTCGGGCCGCTAATTACATCGGGCACCACAATTGTGCAACACGGGAGGTCATGACGCTTCCCTTTAATAATTATACCTAAAGCCCTTCACGAGGAAAATTTAATTATAATTCTGGTAGGAATGAGTGTTTGAGCAACTCTTTGCAGCAAAAAGGTTGCAACTGAGGTAAGAATTAGGTTTGGTAAAGCATTTCAGTGGCCGATGTTACTTACAATTCGGGTCCTTTCGTCATTGCAGTAATTACATTACGGGAATATGAATATTCCTTAACAAATTTATTGAACTGCATGGTTCGGTTTATTATTTATAACTGAAGATATGTTATCCTCGTTTACGTAGATAAACGTTGAGCACAATCTTTCTTGGCATTCTTATATAAATTTATACACTAAAATTTGATAGTCATTGATATTATATGTATTTTTTAATACATTCTTAACAGATAAGGCCCGTAGGAGAAGCATGTAGTGGAACTCTGTTTATTTTCCTTAATTTGCATTCGGTACGACAGCAGGAACGGGATATGGCGGTGAAATGAAACGGTTTATCATTATGTGGATTGTCGAACAGATAAAATAATGAAATGGCATCAATAATAAATGAAATGACAGTGATAATAATGGAATGGTTGTGATTATAATGAATGGCTTTAAAGTAAGAAGGAAAATTGTTGAATGGATTGCCAAAGAGATAGAATAATTTTTAATCGTCTGTTGTGAGAAAACAAACAACAAGCAAAACGTATGATAACACGGAAAGTTACAATGAAGCATTAAACGATATAAATTAGAGGATTTAATGTTTAGATCTATAAAGACTCAGGGTAATAGGCGAGACAAGATAAGGATAGCGATGCGTTTTTTGCTCCAGTGTGAGTCACCATGACTCAGTTTGGCCTGACTAAAGGGTGTTTGAGTGTCCGCTATCTGCTCGTGCTGTGGGTATGGAGTAATTAATTTTTTGGACAATGACTCATTGATTTTTCTGAGTGGATGCTTGTATTGAACTGACCTGTGGAGGTTGGTGTGGTGGGGGTGGCGGGGAGGGATCTGTGGGGGTCAAGCGAGGGGGGGAGGGGGACGCATCCAGTGCTGTTTGCTGCTGATACTGCTGCTGCTGCAGCTGCTGCTGCTGCTGCAGCGACTCCTGCAGACGCAGCACTTGCAGCAGCTGCAGCGTTGTTGCCGTTCTCCTGCAGAGCTGCTAGCGTCAGCAGCGTCGAGAAGCTGTCTCTGCCAACCATCTGTAGGCCATATTGCATATTTAACAATACTTGACACTACATTCACGTACACATATAAAATATAGAGAATATATAATAAAAGATGATAGATAGAAAAATCTGTAGACAAAGAGCTAAAAATACTTCGTAAATTAGTATGTAAAAAAACATTGATTTGAATTTCCTCAGTGGTGGAATTTGGTTGAATGAAATTCAATGAATTCAAATGTCCTTTGCTTAATTGTCTTCATTTTAATGGTAGCCATGAAATGCATTCGAGGAAGTGAGAGTGAATTATGAACGAGATGAAAAATGTACAAAATTCAACTACACAACATTTTAGCCTAAACTTCCTATACACTAATTCCTAAAAGTTATATTGAAAATTCCTATAATTAACCGTTAATTAGTACCGTCATTCGTGACTATTCATTAAACACTACCATTTATTTTCAATAATAAACTAGGCTGGATATCTACGAACATTAATTAGTTACGTACTCAAATATACCGGTGTTCGTTATTGGCTACGTAAGCTTGTCAGCCAATAAAATTTGGACTTTAAAGAGTTAACGCACAAATTACCGGCTTGATGATCAAACTCCTGGACACCATTAAACGTAAGTATAACTAAGCTGTCCTTTTTATCAGGTTCAATATTAATAATTTATGATTCTCTGCCACAATCTTCTAAAAAGTGCAAAGAAAAGTTCTGTTGCCATTGTAAGTGCCGTGCGTTCTCGCATTAGTTAAAACAGCGCAAATACATATATATTAGATTCAGCGTATGTATATTAGGAATTATGGCAGACTAATGTCTGAACCGGTATTAATTTGATCGGCAAAGATAATCCTGAGTTGCTCAATATAATAATAATCAGCAGCCGAAAATAAAAATCAAAACCAGTATTCAAAATTTTGTGATGTATTGAATTTTTTAGCCGTCTCTTTCTCACAAATTTCACGCACCGGTATTAAGTGAGATAGAATATTCGAGCTAAGCCCCAAGCGTAATATTCGAAATTACTAATTTGAGCAACATTGACTATTACTAAATCGAAGGGAAAACTTTACTGCCCGATATTTATGTCGGGCGAAGAACAATCGTCTGCTCTTGATCAATAATAAAAATGTTCAAGCTGAAGGCACGCGAAAAAGGCGAAACTCATTTAATCCTCTAGCTCCGAATAATAGAAATTTAAACTTTGTCCTGAGATTTAATAAAACTTGCGTTTTTTGAAAGCAAATACCTGCTCTCAGACAGAGCGTGTAAAATTAAACGGTTGTATCTGTGATGATAACTGAACCTTCAAGTACATGCAGTGAAATAATGTTGTAAATTTCATGCTGTCCTTGACAGGTTTGGTCACCCACAGTGTGTATAATTTGTAGCCATGAAGCTAGTTAATCAATGATTTTGTGGGAGATTTCTTCACCCATAGCGCATCCATTTTAAAGCAATTAAGCAACATAAATAGTGTTTGCTGCAAACAATCACATGGGTACACTCGGAGTGACAAACCACGCTAGTTTTTGCCCTCAAAAGGCGGCGGCGTTTCATTCGGACTGCTGGGAGGTCTCGTTGTGGTGGCGACGGTTTCTTTAATTACGCAGTATATTGCGCCTGAATCTTCTGTTGCGTATCGATTAATTATTATTTGCGTTGTATCATGTAAAAGATTTTAAAGTCTCTTCTAAAAGTCAGAGCGTTGTAGTTATGTTTTAGTTATATATTTGGTTGATTAAACTTCCGGTAAAAACAAAAGCTTTTCATTTCATAAGAAAGAATATCACAATCTTACCAATTAATTTTTTGTTGTTGCGTGTGTGTATGCCAAACGTATGCCATTTTTTAGCAACCTAGATCCTTACAGGTAATTGAGACTGAATTTATTAATAAAAATTCCTCTACTATAAATTATTCAATAAGTTATTAATACCGTATAATGCAATTTCATAATACATTTACTTATTCCGTGTCTAAAAGAATTTATAATCTCTATACCGTCTTATTTCATGAATCAGTATCAAAATTTCGTACGAAGTAACAAATTAACTAAATACTATGCTTCGACGTTTGGAAGGGGCATTATTACAAAAATATAATTCATGAAAAGAAGCAACGGATTCTGCCGGACCTGATAAAAGTCCACCATGTTACAATATGTGTATAAAAAATATCTGAATCTTAATAGGATATTCTATTCATGCACAAACAAGACGCTAATAACACGTAAATAAAAAAGAACTCCGGTAATAGGCTGAGAGTGCAACAAGAAGCAGCGCTGGTCTCTCTACCCTCAGTCGCTGCCACGTCTCCGTCTCATTTACATCCTTCACGCGCCTCGCTCGCTAATGTCTGCCAGAAATATACGCTTCTTGCATGTATCTCGGCACCAAATAATCTCTGTACCACCACAATTGTCCATTATTCTTTAAGAAAAGGCTCGCACATAATAGGGACGATAGTATAAATTTTACAATGAAATTGGTATAAATAGTGACCAATTTCGCAACTTGAAACTATAAATTGGTTTGAATTTTGGCCGCAAAATAGTTAATGACGTAGAATCAGTTAATTTTAAAATAGAAATTGATAAGTAATTTTCAAAAACTTGACGATTTTTCATCACTGGGCTTTGATGAAAAAAGCAACCCAGATTTAGAAGCATGATATGTTAACATATGACACGAATTTGTACGGATATATTTGCGAAAAAGTATAATTACATTTAAATTTAATATCATTTCATATCTCTAATGCCGCACTACAGCGTTCACTATAGCTGGCACCCGCGGATCGATGCCAGTTCAAATAGCCCAGACGTATCACCGAAGTTTCAACGTTCTTTACCTTCATAATTACACCTCAGCGTTTTCACTTCCAACTAAACACGACGATATACTTCCTGGTCTCGGTAAATTGACTGTCAGAAGTTTCTATGTCTCAAATTTAAGCCGAGCTTTGCATGTTTGACTGAAAGTTTGCGCAAGTTTGATCATATAACTACGGAAGCGTTAGCTTAAAATTCATCCACTTTGTAGAGAACTCAAATAGTTTCTTGTACCTCAGGCGCCGTATCACATTGAGAACCTAAATATGCATGAAGCTATTGCACGAAAATGTAGTATGTTCTACTGATTGCTTTTAAATTCATCGCAGTTTTTCTTCACAAAAATGATCACAAAAGTTCGTATTTTACGTCGTATCGATCTTGGACTAACACTGTAATATTCTTATGAACTTTGTTCGAGTCGTTAAAGTTGGTCGTATGGCACACGCCTTTCGTGATCGTGCAATTTGTCGAATAATAATTGACAAACTTTAGAATTTGGCGCGTTTCTCGGAAGGCAAATAATGGCAGGTGTTACTGACGAGTGTGTCACGTATAGTCGAGTGCACAAGAAATGAGTGGCATTACTGGTCCTCAGAACTCGTTACCTTAAAAGGCCTTTATTTGTCACTTCTCCTGTCACTGCCGCTGGGCTGAAATTGACAACCGGAGAGCGTTTTCTCTACAAACAATTTGGTGGATTATTATGGATGCGCCTAAAGTATGAGTGACTTTTACCACTGAACCATTTACTTAAAAATAGGAATTAAGTTTAATAGCGGTTATATCTTGGCAGGTTCATCAATTATCGATTTTAGGACAGTAATAAGTCAAGGCATTGTTATAGCAGACTGAAGCCATTACTTGAATATCTGATGTAAGCAATTAAGCGTTTCCAGGAGGCAAACAAGGCGTGTTTGCGGCTCTAATTGTGGCTCCGCATTGTTCATTTCGAGGAAATAACGAGCGCTGTTCTTCATCAATAACTCGAAGAGGTCCGAAACACATGGCTGAAAACTTGCTCAAGTGCCCATACCGATAAATTCATTCTTTTTTTCCATTTGGTATTCACGTCGCTGTCAAGTTTACTATTCACAACACACGGGAAAAACTCGTCCACTTATCAATAACGTAATTCGTATCTGAATTCTGAGTTGACATATTGTGAGCCAGTGCAGGGCATAAATTTAAATACATGTAATGTTATTCTTAAGTGAATGAGGATATTATATGGACAGCGTAGAGCTAAGAGCTGTCAACAACATTCAGCGATTGCAGGATTGCGGTGAAACGATAAGGCAAAAAGTTAGATAATCTCTGGCCAGTAAAAAAATATAAATTTCAACTGTCACCACTGAAAAATGCGGCAACGTACTATTATTATTAGAAATTGGAGAAATTTGTTAATGATATATGAAATGAATGACTAAAATTGCATTTTTATGGTAAAACGAGATGTTTGCGGTCGATGATTGGATTTAAAATGATTTTTGAACAAAATTGGCTGGAAAATGGAATCACTCATCTGAGTTTGATAACAAATCTGATAGCTTACTGATGCATTGACCTGATCAGCCTACACATACACAGTTGTGGCGGCGACTGAAGCACATCAAACATACCTGACTCCAGGGAGCAAGAAGTACGATAAAGTGAATCAAGGTTTTCGTTGTTTGTCGCAAAGATGATGTTTGAGACCAACACAATTAGCTACCTGCTTGACTAACCACCTCGACTGACTGCTTGACTAACCGCCCTGACTGACACTTTATTGAACATGCGCTGAGCGATAAAATCTTAAGTTGATTGCCGCGTCTTGTTATCCAGCGCTTGATTGTTTTGTTTCAGTAAGTGCATAATTTCAGTAGTGCAAGGCCTCGGAGCAACGTAAACGATGTCACGCAGGGTACAAAACGTCAAGTGTTTAGTTGATAAACACAGTTCATTTTGCCAGATAAAATTAAAATTGTGCTAAGAGTAGGCAAAATAATTTTATTATTATATCAACTTTGCACAATGGAAAACATGAATGATGAAAATTCAGATACGACTAGAATTCAGTTAAAAAATGAATAAAAAGACAAACATAACGTCAGCGCATAACCAATACTAAGTTCTTTCAAGATTATTTGGGAAATTGCTGAAAAAAATTTCTGGGATATAAATTTTACAAAAATTTTACATAGGGACTGCTAATAAAAATATGAATCAATGCTTGTGTGCCTAGTTATTTATTATAACTATGTACATTTTTATCACACTGCAACCATCAATTATAGTGACTTCATCGAAACCACTGATGATTAAGAGGAAAACACGAAAAAATTACTTGCATTGGTAAATTCATCAACATCAATTTTACAGAAAAAAGCTCCAAACGAAAGCTCTAATTAATAAGTACAGGGACATAAAACTAGTCAAGTAAAACGACTAAGTTGTACTACAAAAATGTAATACAAAAGAATTACTGAACATGTGATGAATTGTAAATGACGAATTTAAATTTGAAAATAAAGAATTGATACATACCCTGGCATGAAGTGCTTGCTGCTGGAGATCAAGGTGCTGGAAGTGTGAGACTCGCGGCACGTAACACGCTCGCTCAGGCTGCATTTTTTCCACCCTTGCCAGAAACTCCCGCTGGGGGGTGTGGGGAGGCGTTGGTGGTTCACCACCGTCACCACCTTCACCACTTGCCGAGTTGTCATCACTATTGTCACCTGAGTGGTCTGATTGTCGTTTTTGGTGGTGTTGTAGTTGCTGTTCTTCCACTAGCTTCCCTGCAAAGAACAAGTGATTATTATTATTTTATATCGAATATGTATTAACATTTTTTTATATTAATAATTTCGTCTTTCCATTTAATTAGCATAGGAGAATAAATTTTTAAGCTAAAATAAGAACTTTATTTGGCTTATCGTTGTATATGCACACGCATAAAGAACCTTGCTACTAATTTTAATGATTAGAGTGCAACTATTCATTAAAAAAATTTAAATTTATTTTCAGCTGGGCTGGATACACTTGCGAAAATTTGGTTCCCACGCATCAAAATTTCCGATTGTTTATCCTCTGGCTTAGTCATCCATCAGCAGATAAAGCTGCTTCAGGTCGCTGCTGGTCATCATATGATGCCGCACGCATGTTGTATGACGACATCGGTGAACAAGAATAATTTAGTTACCGGGAACAAATGATTACTGATTTCTGGCGTGCTGCATAGACGCTAGGATTAGTACAATATTAAAGATGCTGGTGGAAACCGCCAATGGGAATAAATGCTCTGACAATTTAAGGAAAAAGAGAACGTTTAGTGTAAATCTTGATCAAATCCACCGAAATTTTAATTTTTGCATCCTGATGAATGACAATTTAACTGCAGCAGATCAGCAGTACTACTGCTTTTAGACTTCAAGTAAAATTCCAATTTGAATTAGGAATTATCTTTTTCAAAACGAAATTAAATTTAACCCTCATCCATAAAGATGTTTCTACGCATAAAATAAAAAATAAGCCGCAGTTCGTCGACAACTAGAAGTGCTCAGTGTGCAAGCGTGATTTAGATGGATGACTTCTTCGCACAACTCCTCACTTTAGGGGAAACTCGTGTATAGCTCTACTGAGGCGAAAATTGATGGCCAGAGAAAAACATCAGTCGCCATCAGAAAAACATCGCTAACTGCCGCTCTTGATGTAGAGTAATATTATGCCTCACTATGTTAAGACTCAAATTACGCGAGTGGAAAGTTCAACATATAAATGAAATTTTTTTTTTCGGTTAGTCGGGAAGGAAGGAAGAACCAAATACGATTCAGATGATATTTCTGTACGAATAAAATTTTCCACAAGATATTTATCGTACAAGGCAAAAATTGGACTAAAAAAGTTATTTTTGAACAACTGTTCATTCCAATGCAGGAATTGACGTGTATACTTTAATAAATTAATATCAATTTAAATTTTATTATACATCATTGACTTTTTTCTAGCAACAAAACGCTTTTAAGTGTTAAAAATGGTAGTTCTAAATGACCATGAATTAAATAAACTGGTCTCCTCTTTTACCATTAAATAAACTAAATGTTCAGGCAGCTAACTATCTGACTCTGCAGGCGCTCTTTGTCAGCTATACGTGTCCGCAAATTAAACTCACCATTGAAGCCTAACTGCGTCTTCTCTACAATGACCAATATGGAAGCCTGTGAATAAAATTATGCGTGGCAAATTTGAAGCAAGCTTTCCTTGAATTAGCATAATAAGCAGCCTTAAATGCGCAATACGTTGGGCTTCTTTGGTCTTCGGACTTCTTTGTGGCGAAGGTTCCTTTTGATCACGTAGCTATATAGAATTCCAGAGTTAAGACAGACAATTTTTAGATGAAAAGATTTTAAATTAACATGATTTCCAGTCCACCAGATTTTTTTAATCCCCATGTTCTTCTAATTACTGGGGTTTTCTCTAGGTGTTCAATAATTGAGTCAATACATTCTGCTTGCTCATTACATATGTTATGTACGTGACGTCACTTAATAACGTCACGTACGTATAGGAGTGTGACAGACGCATGTTGTCGCTGGCCAGTTTGTTAGAACACTTGCATGATTTCGCGTAGGAACGATGAGCATCTGCTGGCATATAATCCCGTTGCGTTTGTGAAGGTTTTGCTGTGCGCACAAGAGAGAGTGTAAGCGGATTTGCGCCGATGTCTGTAAAGGAATGTGTGATCTGGCACAGGAGTTTAGGATTAGCTCGAGGCAGAACTAGAACTCCGCAATGAAGTATGACGAATAAATCGTAACCGAACGTAACGGAATTCTAAAGCGCAATGAAGTAAATCGAATATATCGGAACGGATCGTAACTGAACTCGTAACAATGAGAACGCGCAATGACAACGTGAACCGCAACGAATCTTAACTGAAACAAAGTCATAACGGAAACAGAAATAGAGCTAGATCTTCTCCAAACTGTGAATTTTGAAAAAGGTGGAGGAAAATAGAGAGAAGAATAATGTTGGCGAAATATCTCAACAGGGTTAGAATAATGGAAAGAAACTTGAATTTTACTTTCAGTGCTAAATCAGTGATAATTGGATAAATAAAGGATAACTGAAATTCTACGCTCAGAGAAAAAAAGTACAGAAATGAACAGTAAAAATAAATGAACAGCAAACAGAAATGAACAGTAAACAGAAATGAACAGTAAACAGAAATGAACAGTAAACAGAAATGAACAGTGAACAGAAATGAACAGTTAACAGAAATGAACAGTGAAAAAGTAACTGAATTAAATTCTACGCACAGTGAGGAAGCTTCTGTCCTAAGGCAGAAAAATCCTGTAGATTTCTGGTCAGCGCCAACCCAGCGTAAGCAGTACCCACACAGACGTACAGACGTCGTCCTAATTCATTCAGCACCCATCTATCAAACAGTGCTTACAATTTCTGATACATCTTATCCAAATTTATTACTTTAGATTTCCCCCCAAACTAACTGTATTTCAAATTTCATGTTCGTATTAGTTCTGTGTGCATCAACACAATTGCGTTTAATTTTGTGTTCAGTATTTTGCAGAGTTTTTAATATTGACTTATGTGAGTGTCAGGAGGGCAGCGTGTAGAGTTCAGTGTTACACTTGACACTGGCGATCGAATATCGGTAGAGATCGAGAACGCGATATAATTCTGTTACTAGATACACCGTTAATAAAAAAAAACTGAAACCACGGCTGTCTGTCTGAATCTTTGTCTTTTTTTCGTGAATTTCATAGTTTAGCGCAGCATAAACCAATAAATTAGGAAAGTTCGGTTTATAAATAAATAATATAATATTTCCTATAAATCAGGAAAGTTATTTGTATAAATAGTATTGCTGAACTGTAAATTACAATAAAGCAATAATAATACAAATATATATTTTGCTTCCTATCATTAGTGGTCAGTAAGAATCATTCATGAGTTTGAGGAATGCACCATCGTAGCCAGACTTGAGGTACAAATCAATACTGCAGCTGCTCATCCAGCAGTGTAGTTATTAAATGAAACATTCATCTGGTTCGTGAAATTAAGTGAAAAACTTTCTCCTGACCAATCAAATCAACATCAGAAGTTGAATGTAACATAGGAAACCAACTCGCGGTTGACACTCCAAGTCTTCAGTTGGAGTTGAACTGCGCGCAGCTGCGGCGATAAGAGAGCTGGGTATTGTATGGCCCGGCCAGACCACATATATAATATAAAGCTTCATTTACACACACCAGGTGTTCAGTACATTCAATATGAACCCTTTGAGCCTGTACACAGAGCCTATTAAAACACGGAGATATTATCGACTGCCTCTTGCCGAGGCCGAGCGATTCTTTGGCGTCACAATCGTACAACATCTCAAGATTTGGCCGCTTGTTAGCACCAGAAAACTGAAATGGGCCCCTACAAATATTATTGAACGACACTCGTTTTTTTCAATTCAAGAATTGTTCGGGAGAAAAAACACGATAAGGAGTTCGTTCTTGAGATACAAGACATAATCTCTGAACACGAGACGAAATAAATAGAGTAAAGATGGAACGTTGGAATTGCCGATAAAAATGATATAAGAATTGAAGAACATAAAAATTAGTTGCAATTGCACCTTTGATTTGGATAGATGATTTAATATGCAGGACAAAAATGTTTATAGTACAGAATATTTCGGCCTTCAGTATATGCTGATTCAAGTATGCGGACATAATTATCACTTATTCCTATAAGGCGTAAAGTCATATATGTTAAGAGCACTATTTATGGGCATCTTGGCTTTGCCTTGTTAATTAGTGTAAATTAACCGTTGAAAGTAAAAACGTTGAAGAAAAAATGGAAATAAATAATATGATATAATTTTCTCTCATAAATCGGCATACCCTCGTTTATTATTTTTCATAAAATATGGAACAAAAAAAATACTGCCGTTTCATTTCCGCCCGAGCTTCAAATTAAACTTTTTGCCGCGAATGTGCATAACAGCTATATAATACGCTCCTCCACCTTCATTTCTTATTTATTTAAAAATTGCTTCACTTCACATGGAATTTTGAAGGACGAGAAAAATCCAACTCTTTGATAATTGATGACTCATTCCCGCGATATTTGGTGAGTGTTGAGGACTTAAAAAAATTAATTCGTAAATTCGTAATTTTGTAACAAGCTTGTTACAAAATTACGATCGAAAGACATGCAGACATTTTTTGCGAACATGCATAGTTTTTATAGAATCGACAGGTAATGTTCAACATAAAATGTTTCGAGTGTTGGCAGAGCAGCAACAAGTATTGGCAGAGCAGTAACAAGTATTGGCAGAGCAGTAACAAGTATTGGCAGAGCAGTAACAAGTATTGGCAGAGTTACAAGTATTGGCAGAGCTCGGCTCTCTTTACATCGCTGGCTTCATGTGACCGCTATACACATGCTTGCTCTGCACAGATGGCTTGTGTTCTGTGTGGTTCATATACAGGCCTTGTATCGGGTGTACCTTGGTGCAATGTATGTGTAAGGTATTCAATATAACACACTTTTGTTGTGAGTGTTTGATGTGTTCATACAAATACGCGTGCGCCTTCATTCTTAAAGGTGTGCTATGTGTAGTACAGTTGAGAGGTTGTATGAAATTTGCATGTATGACGTCAAGTAAAGTAAATAATATACAAAATACAGTCAAGGCTTGAAACAAAGATCGTTATATCATATAAGGCCTGGCCTCAATCAGAAATGATAGCTGCAGTATAAATTAAAATTATTCAGAAAAAACAAACTGCTGTCTCGAAAATAAACGAGATTATTATTTGAATATGACTTGAAATCTCAATTTAATTGTTTCAAAATTTGTTTATTGATGCGAGAGATAAATTCAACACAATTTATTATCAACAAAAACGTTTACTTGTACAAGATGAAGACTCTATAGCTTCTATATGATGGATGTGAGAACGCTTATCAGGAAGGATGCTGCGGACCGTCGGTGTTAGCATGAGAATATAAATGTGCACGTGGAAATATTAAACGAGGATCAATATTCATTTATGTTTAGTATACTACAACATGGTTCATTAATTTCAAGAGAGGTATTTTTATGGACTGGCATATGAGTTATTTGCTTCTATCTGTCATTGAATAATAAGGTGCAATTCAGTGTAGACTAAAATATACGAATTTGAATGCAAAACAGCGCGTCGTGAAAAACTAAGAGAATACGGCAAATAATGTAAGCAAATAGAGGAAGTTATATGGAAGTGATGGTGATAATGAGCCGGGCGCTTAATAATTGTCGGAGCAAACTAATGATGCATTCAAGACGACCGCCAGGAGCGAGCATTACTAATAGGATTTCTTTGGAGTGGGAGGAGTTAAAACTCAAAAGGAGGATGGGAGGAGACGAAAAATAAGAGGAGGAGACAAAATCCACATTCAGGGCAAAGAGGCGGGCTCAAAAAACGGGCGGGGCCAAAAAACCGAGGCACGCCGCATTTTAAATTGAATTGGGAGGGTCCACAGAAGCGACCAGGCAAGGGTTGCTGCTCCTCAATGCGAAGTGTCGAAAAAAATTGGCATGGTCAAAAAAAGGGCGAAGGAACAAGAGGCAGGATCGAATTTGGTAGGGTAGCTGCTGAGCGGAAATGATATATGCTATTGTTGTGACGGAGCACAGGCTGCCTCGCCTCTCCCAAACTGTTTCAAATGATTTGATTCGCAATTCATGCAAACAAATCCTAAAATACAACTCACCAGTTTCTTTGTATGCATATTTATGCAAGATTTTTTCTTGCTGAGGTTAAAGGGCGCAGTGCTATGGTATGAATAATCTGATGTCATAGAGATGCAAGAATTCTTAACGGATTCTGAGTACGACAATGCGAATGAAAATACTTTCATTGTGAATGAGCAGGAGCTTTCAGTGGCCAGAATGTGCAAAGGTCGCATTGTTCATGAGTAAAAATTACAGGCATTGCCATTTGTAACAGGTAACTGATTTCTGGACGCATTAGGCACAGTGAACACATGAAGATAACAAAAACCTAAACGAAGAATGAAGAAGAAGCAGGAGTGTGATGAACTCCACTACCTCATTACACGTTGGAAATCTTGCAATCTTTCTACAATGGGTAACTAAATCATAATAAATATAAACTTTTTACCATATGGGTAAATCTATCAGAATAAATATAAACTTTCTACCATGGGTAATGCCATCATAATTTAATATATAATTCCTTCTAGGCTACTACGAGTAACTCTATCATAATATATATATAAACGTTCTATCATGGGTAACTTCGTCATAATAAATATAAACTTTCTACCATGTTTAACTTCATTATAATATATGTAAACTTCCTACCACGGGTAACTCCATCATAATATATATAAACTTTTTACCATGGGTAACTCCATCATAATATATATAAACTTTTTACCATGGGTAACTCCATCATAATACAAATAAACTTTCTACCAAGGTTTACTTCATCAAAATAAATATAGCTAAATATTAGATTTAGCTTCAAATGAAACTTCAACGCATCACCTCATCGTAACACTGGGTATTTTGTGCCGGGTAAAACGACAATTATTTTGCCAGAGTCCAAAACGAGGCAGATGCAGATTTAAAAAAAGATGCTGTTAATTCAAGAGCGGGTGACTGGGGTGGAGCTGAGCGATGGGTGGATTTAAGGGGCGGAGTTAAGACGGCGGGCGTGGCTTGAGATGGAAATGCAATCAAAGTTCGTTAAAAACTTGCTCCGTTTTATAAGGGTCATAAAAAAACGTATTGGCGGGAGTACAAGATGTACAATTTGCAAGCTGATCCAATGCAAGGATTTAGGTTGCCCTGGCACGATATATTCATATTTACTTAATGAATAAGTATTTTAACTTCCGTGCCTTACAATCATCAAAAATATTTTGCTTGAATCTTCAAATCCATATGTTTTAATGCACGGAAAGTGAACCTATGAGCGGCAAAAAACATTGAACACATAAATTAATTCAGGAAAAGCTTTCCGAATTTTCATAACAACGGTAAAAAAATCTGTTGCGCTACCAAAATTTAAAATAAAAACTTGTAGAAATTATGCAGCACTCGGACATATTCGGAACGTTGAATTCCTTCAGAAAATTGTCGACAACGAAATATAAAACTTAAATTTCCGTCTGATAAGCAAGAGAAAAGACCCCACTTAACGAAACGAAGTTTGCAGCCTCATACAACAAGCATTATTTAAATCTATATAGAACCTCAGATGTAGTTCATTGTATGTAGCATTAATTGAGTTGTTCGAATTCCAAACTAAGAACAAACGAATAATTTATTGATAACTGCAGCCGCAGTTATCAATAAATTATAGGTATAGTGAAAGAAACACGCTATTTCCGATGAGGAAAATATAGTGCCTTATGAAATAATCAACTATAGAATGTTCCATGTATCGGGCAGTATATATCATATTGTACATGTACAATATGATATATACTAGTTTCTGTTCAGTGTAGGATTTTATAGAGCGTTATTGTGCTAAATGCAGTATTCGATATTGAAGTGTTATATTGCCGTGTTTAATATTTAAAATATTTTCGGGCAGTTAATGATACTACGTGGTGTTATTGTGTTGTGTATAATATTGTAATATTATTGCGCTCTGAGAGATATTGCAGAATTTTTGAGCAGTGAATAATATTGTATTATAATTGAGCACTTAATGATATTATTGCATTATTGTGTTCTGAATGATATTGTTCAGTTTGTGAACAACTCCATTAGAATTCACTTTATCGAATAAGTTGACTACGGTAATGAGTTTTAATTGTGTTAATTTTTTTTCGCTTCGCAAACCAACCGATCAATCACAAATTATTTCAGGTCGATTACTGCACGTAGCAATCGTTGGAGTAACACGTTATACTCGAGTTATAACAATAATCTCTGGGAACTTACGATCATCGTCAGAATTCGCTTAAATTAGTTGGATTATGAGCATCAATTACCTTAAATATATAGAGCTATCATTACTGAAGATTCTAAGATTTTTTCAAACGCATTCTCGGTACGAATAAAATTGAAAAATTGAGACTGGAACTTTACTTAAATGAATTAGATCAGCCAGCCAGTGATCACACTTCCCTGTCTGAATATTTCGTAATGAACTTAGTTTTGATTTCGAAGAATAATACAAATTCGGATTCAAGCACTCGGAAGCATCGATTGCATTTTCAAACAGGAGAAAAAGACCTATATTGTCACAGAGAGTATAAGCTTTAACAAATATTTAACTTTCAGATCATTATTTTATTAATGATCCACATTATATAAGTTCTAAAAATAAAATGATGTATAGGTATCATTAGCCCAAGTGGTTTTAATCAAGCCAATAATTAGTTTATTATCTAACTAATTGATAGAAATAGCAGGAGCTTTAACAAATTATCTGATTTGTATTAAGTTTCATCAATTTCCAAAGGAAAATTATGTATTTTTATATTCCGAATTGCGCCTACAAAATTAATCAAAATTTGGAATTGAAACTATCCATTATTTATAGTGTTGGACGCGATTAACTGGTTTCTACTTCAAGCATTGAACTAACTCTAATATATAAAATAAAATATCAGGCTGCGTTGAAATAATAAACATATTAAGTATTGTGAAACACAATAGAAAAAAATATTTTGCCAATTTTGCAATGCTGAAATGAGCTCTGCGGTCGCCAACGCAACACAGTTTTTCCAGCGGTCAGATATTGCGGCCACTCAACATTCACGGCGTCGAACTATAACGAAGTCAGCCATCAATTGCACTGTGAACCAGTTGTGCAGTGTAGTGAGTAACCACATAATAGTGTTGTGTATAACAAGAATAATGGAGTGTAAGCATAGAAGAATAAAGTGTACAAAAACATTAAGGGAATTTTGTACCTATAGAATCATATGGAGTGCATTACCCAAGCAGTGGAGTTTTGCCTAGAATAGTATATAGAGTGCCCGCCTAGAATTGCGGAGTGCATAGTTAAAATAGTAAACTTGATACCAATAATAGTGAGAGTATACTTAGAATGCTTCCTCCTGCAGTGAAAGCAATCATCATACTCAAGCAATCTATCATACTCTATTTAAGGCACACATCTGTCAAAATTTAATTTTTTATTATTAATAAAAATTGAGGAGGACTGCGAATCATGACAAATATATTCTAAAAAATTACATTAAGAATTGTATGAGCCCCATTATATGAGCCCATTGTCAATCCCCATTATGAGCCAGATGGAATATTTGGTACACAACGCGGGTTAAGGGTTAAATAATTAAGGATAAACTCACCAAGCTTCATCTTGAGGTAAACCCTGAGCAGAAGAGCAGCCCTATCTTCACAGCCCGCAGACCCTGAAGCTTCTTCGTCGTAGGGTCTGCTGTTATCTACGATGTTCATAACATTGCCTTCCTCGGGGGTGACTGAACCAGACCGCTGTCGTTTACGACCCGAGAGCAACGAATTATTTCGGGGGTCTTCGGCTTCGTCGGGGACGTCAACGCTATCGACAGCGACTTCGATTTTGTCGGGTCGGTCGAGCAGCTCTGCCATCTCGACCATTTCCGACATACTTGCGTCGGGAACGATTTTTATCTTTCAGCACCGCTTGCGCAGGTTCGAATCAAGTTGGAATTGCCGTGAAAGTTTTCGGTGCGTACTAGAACGGTGGACGAGAGTGGGATTTTAGAAAGAAAAAAGTCTTTCTGTTGTACGAACAAATTACCGAAGCCGCTCTTTATTTCATGTCAATGAAGACTGCAGGCGACAGCTCAACTGGACATCAGTTACATGAATTTAACAAACACTTTTTTTACTAATGGATTTCACCGAAAAATAACGCGAGACCATTTGATTTCCGTTGCTCACAGTATCGTAAACGGATTTTATTTTGGAAATGCGAATGATTTTTCACTCAAAAATTCAGATGACGCATGTAAATTATAATTATAAATCGATCATGAGTAATTCGATTGTTTCACTGAACCGAATAGCTGGAATCGTAATTGTTAATTTATGAATGAAGTAACTCTGTAAGAAAAAATATCTTTTAAGCGCCACGTATATCACACATGGAACTGAAGATACAAATAGAACAAGGGAAAATTCTGGTTATCATCGGAACAAATGATGAATTAATTCGTAAAAGTTTACTCGTTCGTACACTCGAGTTCATATTTTTTATGTCACGTAGAGCGGCGGTGCAAGGCTGCAGCTCGTAGCGCTAATATTCACTCTCTACACAACGCCGATACAATCATACTAGTCTTGTTAACGATCTGTTTGAATTTAGTGAATTAATTAATAAAGGGAATTAGTCTATTTCTTGAAACTGTTGTTTATGGAAATTTTCAGAAAACGAAAAAGAACATCGCATTTAAATACAAAGTCTGTTTCATAATTGATATCACTTGCTTACATGTTTGCATGTTCTCAGTCACTGTCGCCACAACGGAACACACAATAAATACAGGAACAAATGAGGCCGCTTTACTCTAGGCGAGTTACCCATTTTTTGCCGTCATAATTGAGCAAGGTCGGAGATGTTCAGTGGGAAAAATAAGTCACATAAATTCTTACTTTACAGCGACTCCAGAAGTAGCGGCACTAGCAAGGCTCGACGCATTTACACGGTGAGCAGATCGCGTCTCTATTCATAAGTAGAATTTAGGTGGTCGCACCCTTGAACATTTACGAGAATCTCAGAGCAGATGTTCATTATAAATCCATTTGATTTAACATATAGGGCAACGTTGACTACGAAACATAATTAAAATGTCTACACACTTTGAATCAAATCATAATTTTACCAAGTGAGAGTTTAGGTACACGATTTCACACCAGTAAATATCGGGAAAGTTGGTCTCGGCGACCGCGGGTATCGGCGGCGGTACACAAGTGGCGGCAACGTACACCTCCCCTGCAAGCGGCCGCCGTACTGAGGCAGCAGGCGACTTAAAGGTCCCGTCTACAGCTGCTGCGGGGGAGAGGGGCTGGCCAGACACACGGCTTTTTAAAACCGAGTTAAAGTTTTTGTGCAAACCCCACGACGGCTCGGAAGCCGCTATTGATTGGATGCAGCGCCAATCACAAACCTTCGAATCTTGTCAACTCTTTCTGTACACGACGCTACGTGAGCATGCCTTCTCGAGGCTTCATTCTACGCATTTAAGAATCTTGATTTAATTCCTCGTAACCGAAAAGTTTTAAATTTCTTCATAGTATCAGTGGAAGTTCGTTCAGGATAATCGTATGAAAAAATTACCGTTAACATTAATGAAAAAATAAGTAAACGAAGAATGCCAGTTTCAAGTCTTCAAATTGCATGGTTTAATTTGTCCTCGATCCTCAATATTTCAGTCAGGATAAATTTTCCCCTGAAATATTTAGCATCATCGTATTTCCGTCGCTAATTTCCTGCCATTGTGGCGATGAGGACATGGAACAATTGGTCCTTAAGTTACGCTAAAATGAGAGAAACCAGTTCTAGTATTTCTCCAAGGTTCTAACATGATAATAAAAGTTCTCGGGTTCAAATCTCTTCACAAAATTTCCAATTAATCTAAAAATTAAATAAACCCGTCATTGATTCCCAGAAGTAATTATGCGATTCAATTAGAGTGCAAAACCTAAATAGGAGTATTGATCAACTTCAATTTAGAAAGTTCAGTCAGTTAATTGCATCGTCGCTAATTAAAGCTGCAAAATACAAAAGTTTATTCCGTATTGAACAAAATTTCAACAAAAATTTGTTACAAGAAAATAAGTCGTACTATACGTTAAAACTATAGACAAGCAGCTGGATAGTCTTAAAAAACTGACCTCACATTAACCAGCCCAATGCACAGTAGAAAGTGAAAGCGCACATAAATAGCGTGAGTTAAATCACAAATTATAAAATAAAATACTTTGTACAAAACTGTTTCAAGAAAGACGTCTGAACTAATACCGTTTATAAGCCAATTAATAGCACCATATCGTGATGTCAGATACCCGACAGATACGTTGAGTCCTTATCAATATCAATATATCAATGAAGTCAATATTTATAAAAACATTCCTCAACATAATTAAAAAATAAAAAAGAATAATCTAATCATATCTAGATTTTATTCAGGAATAAAAAGAAATATTGAGTTGGAAGCAAATCTAACTGAAATTGCACCATTTGAAGTCACAATCGCAGAGATATGAGCCAGGTGCTACAAAGAATAGATTAAGTGTTGGAGATGAACTGAATATTACTGTTCATCACAGGTAATATATTGCTTCAAATAGATTTAAATATATTCCTTGCATTGGGAATAAAAATGTTTCTCCGTAAATTTGATCATAAATTTAAACACCTCCCATGCACAGAGAATTAAGGTATTTATTCAGAGATGTATACATTTTTCCAGCACCTAGAATAAAAATATTTCTTCATAACGTTCAACATTTCCCCAACACAGAGAAAATACAAATGGTGACTCCTCCCAATTGGGCGGCGAAGCAAAAGGGGAGCGCGGAGCCCGAAACCAAGAGTGAGTGTCGGCATTGGCTGGTTTAAAGGTCCAGCGTCCGGGTTTACGGAAGCCTGGGTTTTGGGTGGGAACTTGCCTTTTTCCGCCACCATTGTTGGCCTTAAAAGTCCAACGGATTGGGGAGAATTCTACCAAAAAATCCAGACTGGGACGGGCTCTTTAAAAGGCGGTGGGAAGGTCGTTGTGAGATACGCACAAACTTACACAAACTGTGCGTGGAGCATTCTGTGGACTTTAAATCTACGACCAACGGTTTCTCTGATTGATAAAAAATACGAAAGTTTTATAACGTTTACTGGATTTAACGGTTACTGGTCAATTATTTAGACTTACAACGTTTTGTTAAGAATGCCGTTGTGTATACGTAGACAACATTTGTTGGTTGGGACATTTCAAGTTTTTATTTGCAGTAACTAAAAACTGATAAGAATCAATATTAATCATTAATATCATTTTAAAATGACTGATATTATAATTGATTACAGCAGTTTAAAATTTGAGTGATTTTCTCAGCAATTTGAGAAATAACTTCTACCACTATACATATTGGTTGTAGATATGAGCAGAAACTTTTAAGCGAACACTTTAAGTAGCGAAAGCGAAAGTTTATCAGAAGCCATTATTCCTTTAGATGTAACAAAAAATGCCTACATGAATTTATTACACTCAATCACAGATTCTATTGTTAATATGAAACGACGACGAGGTTATTATATTTATTTAGAGAGATTTACAGAAAAGTTAAAACTTTTGTTACAATTTTTGTTACAATTTTTGTTCAGATTCGCTAGTCGCAAATTCTCAGTCTAGGTTAATTATTATGAATAATGTAATATATCACTAGATATTTCATCCTGATTCATCATTCCTAAAATTTCTTATATTCAAAATTCAGTAATAATCCATTGAAGCGGAAATGAATGTAAGTTTGGACCGGGATTCATCATCAGGTTTCCGGCGCCAGCAACATTCCTAAAATGCATATCACTTTCATATCGAAGCGGATTAATTAAGTTGTAAGAACTACAGAGTAAATTCAAAACAATCAGTACAACTACACCACGCATCAGCTGCAGAAGCATCAACAGCAATCAGTTGCATCAGTGAAAACATTGCGTCTGCAAAAAAAAGGGAAGCTGCACTTTATGGCTGCAGTATCAGCAGCAGCGTTGTACAGCTGCAGTATCAGCAGCAGCGCTGTACAGCTGCAGCATCAGCAGCAGCGCTGTACAGCTGCAGTATCAGCAGCAGCGCTGTACAGCTGCAGCATCAGCAGCAGCGCTGTACAGCTGCAGCATCAGCAGCAGCGCTGTACATGAGCGTGAACCGAGCAGCAGCAGCAGCAGCAGCAGCAGCAGCAGCAGCAGCAGCAGCAGCATGAGCCTATATAGCTGCAGATACGCTGCAGCAGAGTGTCTGCTGATGAGTATACCACGTATAGCAGCTGTGAGGCGAGCAGCGTCACCGTAGCGCTGCTCCGCTGCCACGAGCTTACAACGAACATTTAACGCTAATACGTGAGCCTTTTACGTACGCTTGTACTTATGCACTAATTGTACCAACGTTAATATGTACGCATTAATTTTACGCACGCATGACACAAACACATATTCGTACGCTAAAACGTACGCGTATAAGCATACATGATACGTACGCATGCTGTGAACATTACGTGCGCAATCGAGGCAAATAAATTTCACGGGAATTTTGCTGACGCCTACAAGTTCCTAAACTTAAATTGGAATTGTTTGAATTTGTTTTACAAATAGAGATAAAGATAAATGTATGACTATAGGCATTTTTATAAGATATAGGCATTGCACTCTCGTGAATTCGGGACTATAACTCACTCATTAATTTTTTAGACACACAAGCTATCAATTATTTAAAATCAAATTATATATAATATATAATTGGTACATATATAATATATCCCAATTATATATTAATCATATGTACCGTTCCAGGTAGCAGTAATGTTTGAATTTGGCATTTTTCTTGCAAAGCGTCACTCCGGCGAGCAGGAGGGCGTTATGAGTGTCCAAATATGAACCTACGCACCACTCGTGCAACACTCAAGCAACACTCCTGCAGTTTTCATGCTCAACACTCATGCTCAACACTCACGCTCAACACTCATGCTCAACAATCATGTTCAACACTCATGCTCAACACTCATGCTCAACACTCATGCCACTCATGCTCAACACTCATGCCACTCATGCCACACATGCTCACTACATAGACTAGCCATTTCTGCAAGTCATTGTAGTGCATATTTCCTAACAACTTAATTCGATGTTGCTTCAACCACCGCGAATCGTTGCCAGCAGAACCAATAGATCCAATGTGATCAAATTAATTAGAGTGAGTGAAGAATTCTGCATTCAGACAACATAATTATCGTTATATTTGAAGAACATGAGTATTTATTACATATTTATTTAACGCAACATTAAAAAAATTACTTGAAATTCACAATGGCAGATAATTAAAACAATTTAACACTGAATAATGGGAAATTCTAAGTGATTGAAATTTAAGTTTGTTCTCGTAGAAAGTTTGTTAAATTATCATAACGTAAAATATATTAGTCATAACCTTTAAAGTGTCAATAATTTTTAATGGAAATTATCTGTATTGTTAAAGTTCCTTTTATGTTTATAAAAGAATCTCAGGCATACAGAATTATGTATATTGGTAAAGAATCTGGCCCATTCTTCCTTACTTTAAACATGGGTCTATTCATGACTTTCAAATATTCACGATAAAAATCAAACGATTGTTTCGATTAAGTTTCAAAAATGTGCAAAATGGTTTCTCATTAAAGCAGCAATAGCTCGACGCAGCCATTGTTTGAGCCTCTAATGCATCGAACCAACAACTGTAGCAACAAAAAACTACTCCTAAAAACTGGAGTCCTACACATAAGGGCAACACAATAGCATTGCCACACAATGCAATATTTGCACCGGCAATCCATTTTTAAGCAATAAATTTGAATGGGCGCCACAAAAGCTGTACCCTTCCAGAGAACTGGGCATTGTAACTCGATGCCCAGGCAGGTATGTTCGGCGTGCCCGAGAATGTGCGATACCCGCGATTTTATGCAAAACTGTAACGATTTAACGCATAAAATTTATTTATTATTAGAATTCTATTGTCATTCCTGGAAGTAAGCGACTGAGAAACTTACAGTTGACAACGGAGAAAATAAAATTTTCGAGTTTAATATTACATCGGCTGCGTGAACCGATAAAATGGAAATAAATCTAGTCCAGGTTTCAAAATATTTAAAACATGAGTGAGGTTAACGGTTCTAATTTTCATATAAGGTCCTATTTTCCCGATGTTATCCATCAGAATAGATAGCATCGGAAGGCTTTTAGAATGGT